CTCAACGAGGAGTCTGCTTAAGACTCTCTCTCCCTTTTCCCCTTCCTCCCCTTCTCTCTCAAAAATAAATACATCTTAAAAAAAAAAATAGACAGGAAAACACACAAAAAAAAGAGAGAGAGAGAGACTTCAATTATAAAATAGTATTGTATTGACATGAATTGACAAACAGAACCACTGGAGCAGGATAGAAAATAAACCCAACTACATATAAGAAATTAATACATGATACAGATGTTAGATCAGGAGGGGGAAAATAGACTATTCAAAAGATGGTGATGGAAAAGTAAGGGGGAATCTGGGAAAAAAGTTGGATTCATCCTTCACACTGTGCACCTGAATACATTCTAAATAGATCAAAGACTTAAATGTAAAAAATGAAACCATACTAGAAGAAAATGAGAACACCCTTTTGTAAATTTGTGGTGAGGATAGTCTTTTGAGACAACGCTCAAAATCCAGAGGCTATAAAGAAAAATATCAATACATGTTACTACATTGAAAAAATTATGCAAGGAAAAATATAAATAAAAGGGAAACAACTATAGATAAAGTCAAAAGACAACATACAGGAAGAAATATTTGCAACTCTTAAAACAGAATAATCTCCCTAGTATATAAAAAGCACATAGAAATCAATGAGGAAAAGGCCAACTTCCCAGTAGAAAATTGGGCAAAAATATAGAGTTAATTGGAAAAGAAATGCAAATGGCTCCTAAACACACCCTTATTTATAAGACACAAACTAAAATTTAAAATGACATGGGATTATCACTTTTCTGCCAATTGCAATGGCCAGAACACTTAGTTATAAACAAACATTTTATGTCACACACTGTTGGTCACATGTGGGAAACCAGCACTCTCCCTCACCGTTGTTGGGAGGTATATATCAGGAGGGCAATTGGCAGTATTTGTTAAAAATCACTCATTCATATAGCTTTGACCCAGAAATTCGTCTTCTGGGAAATTATCCAAGAGAGTCAAATGATATTTGTACAAAGTTATGCATTATCGCATTTTTCAGAATAGTGAAGGATTAAAAACAACCTAAATTTCCATCATAAGGAAACAATTAAATTCATTATTATATCCACCCAAATAAGGAAGTTCTAGTCAGTAGTACAAAAATAAATAAACAGGGAAACTTTCTAACCAAGAAAGTTATCTGGTAAAAATCTCCAAGATTTATTAAACAAAAAAGCAAGATACAGTAGAATATGCTGGTTTTTGTTTTCAAGAAAGAGAAGTGTGTATGTTCAAATTTGCTGCCATATCCACAAAGAAACTCTAGAAGCTTTCAGAAAACTCTTACCTACAAACGTAGTAGGGGAAAGATAATTGCTTGGCTAAGGTCCCTGCAAGTGTTTGCTCAAGTCTGGCCTTCTCAAGGACTTGTGCCTCAACTTCTCAGCGCAGCCGAATGTGAAGGCCATGAAGACAACTGTTTTGCCTGCCCTACTCATGAACCCCAAGCACTGAGAACAGGGCACAGAGTAGATACTCAACAAATAATTGGTAGGTGATGGGGGAGGGAGACTTCACTGCATACCTTTGTGTTTTTTAAATAATAAATTTACTTAAAAAGTAAATTAAAAAATAAAACAAAGAGTGAATAGGAAGAGGGCCTCGAATTTATTTCTATTTTCTCCCATTCCAGATTTCATAGGAATTGGTGTCCACTTCCACGACTACGTTTTGATTAGACAAGGCTGAAAACATTTGGCAGCGCTGAATCTCCCCAGGGCCACAGCTACAGCCCCCAGACGATGGCAGGACTCCTGACCCTTCTCCTTAGTCTTGCGGGAGAGCCGTGCGCACGCGCGCACTCCCACGCGCACGCGCGCATATAGACGCACGCACGCACACGCACACGCAGACGCTGCTGCAGTTCCGTGTGCCCTTTTACAAGGACGGGACTTGCCACTGCCAACGCTGCACGCTCTCGGGGTTTCAGGCTTATAGCCTTTACCGCATCTACTTGCTAGACTTCCAGCTCTTTCTGTGGTTCAATGAACGTTCATTAAGCTGCACATAGGTTAGACGTTCGGAGACAAATGAGGTGGCGTCGGTGCCCTCTCAGGGTGTCTAATCCAGTCAGAGATTCGGGCACACGGGACTCCACAACTTGTTAACCTAAGGTTTCCTTTTCTAAGTCTGTACTGTTTTGCTAGGGCTGCCCTAACAAATTGCCACAAACTTGGCAGGGAGAGGTTCTTTCTTGCCTCTTCCAGCTTCTGGTGGCTCCAGGCTTCCTCAGCTTGTGGCAACCCTTCTTCAGTCTCTGCCTCGTCTTTATATGGTTATTTCCTTCGTGTCTGTGTCTTTTCCTCTTCTCTGTGTGTCACATTCTCCTCTGCCTTTTTCTTAGGTAAGGACACTCGTCATTGGGTTTAGTTAGGGCCCTCCTAGATAATCCAGGAGGACCTTGAGATCCTCAAATTGATTACATCTGCAAAGACTCTTTTAAAAATGACGTCATATTCACAAATTCCAGGGGTTAGGATGTGGACCACCCAATGGTGGGTGGCTGCCATTCAATCCACTACAGTCTTCTTGCATGGTATTCTCTTACTCTCCTCGAGCATCCTAGTGTGCTTTTCGTCTTCTCCGTCTGCATTAGTAGGCGGACTTTGGTTTAAGTTCAGTTCAGCCACCAGCTAGCTGTGTGACCTTGGGTGTGTTTCTTAACTTCTCTCTGCCTGAGTTGCCTAACCAAGTGGGAGGTGTAAATAAGCATTTGACAAGTTTGTTGTGAAGATTAAATGGGGCCTGGAATGTAAAGCTATTAGCACAGCTCAAAGAGGAGATGATCTCATTGTGATTCGCATCTGTGGTAAGATTTCAGCTTTCAATGTGTGCTTTTACAAGGAAGCATTTATCTCGGTCCTTCTGCCTTCATTTTCCCAGTGCCAAGGTAAGCGTTGGAGGCATGCTCCGATCTTGGAGCACTGGCTTTGCCTTGCAAGCCTTGCGGCTAACTGGCAGACAATTGGTAATTCACTATTTTAAGTTTTAGAACACTGGCAGGAGGTCTGAGTTATGTTAATTTCAAGACCCTCTGACAGACTTATCTTCAGATTTTTTTTTTTTTTTTTTTTTGTAAGTAGGGTTTGGCACTTATTCAAAGAGTCAAAAGAAGCTGTGTGGGAAATATCTTGTTTAACATCTTTCTGTCATTTAACACCACTTGTACCTCACAGGGAGAAAGCAGAGGGTGCCTGAGAGCTAAATTTAAATTGTAAGGATCTAAGCAGCATTTTTTAAAAAAGATTTTATTTATTTATTTGACAGAGAGAGAGAGAGAGCACGACAGCAGGAATACAAGCTGGGGGAGTGGGAGAGGGAGAAGCAGGCTTCCCGCTGAGCAGGGAGCCCGACGTGGGGCTCGATCCCAGGACCTTGGGATCATGACCTGAGCCGAAGACAGACGCTTAACGACTGAGCCACCCAGGTGCCCCTCTAAGCAGCATTTTTAAAAGAAGGTAGATAACAGTTCCCTGTCTGGGAGAGATTACTAGAAGAGAAAGTTCCGTTCAGGCTTTCTTTATTATCTTCAAGAGAAAGACCTCCCCCTACAAAGTCCAAGGAGAGTTACTTGTAGCTAAGTAAATGTTTTAAATCCTGTCTTCTTTAAAGTAAATATTCTCTTAAAAGGCCGAGGAATATTTAAAACCTGTACTTCCTTTCCTTTTCCTTAGAAGGGAAAGGTTTCTCTGATGAAACACTTCAGTCAGATGAGAATGTCTATGGAGGTCCAATTTATAAAACAAAACCAAAAAAATCTTCTCTTATTTAGAGAGAGGATGTGATGGTCGAGAATCTACAGTAATATTTGTCCAATACTCCTCATCACCAAAAAGATTGCCAGATGGTTCATATGTGCGTTCAAGTTTGAGAAGCACTGATCTAGTGTGGCAGATAGACCCTGGGGTGACTCCCCAATAATTTCCACCTCTTGTTGTTCAAACCTTTGTGGGATCCCTTCCCCTTGAGTGTGAGTGGGACTTGTGACTTACCGCTGGTAAAATACGACAAAGGTGAAGAGATTTTGCAGATATAATTAATGTCTCGCATTAGTTGATTTTGAGTTCAATGGAAGAATACCCCATAGGGGGGCCCAACTTTATTAGGTGAACAGCCTTTAAGAGAGGGACTGATTCTTCTGTGAGGTGAGAGGCTCTCCTTGTAGGTTTGATGATATAGGTAGCCAATTGGGAGAAGCTGCACAGGAAGGAAACTCAGGTGGCCTCTAGCACCTGCGGGTGGCCTCTAGCACCTAAGGGTGGCCTTTAGCACCTAAGAGTGGCCTCTAGCCAACAGCCAGCAAAAGGGAGGGTCTCTGTCCTGCAGCTGCAAGGAGATGATTTCTGCCAACCACCTGCGTGAGCTGGGAAGCAGATTCTTCCTCAGCTGAGCCTGGGGATGCGCGAGCAGCCCAATGGACACCTCCACTGCAGCCTTGCAAGGAGACCGTGAGCCAAGGAATAGTAAGACGTGCCTGGACTCGTGACTGACAGAAACTGTGCGTCAATAAATGTGTATTATCTGAAGCTGTTGAGTTCGTGCTGATTTTATACAGCAAGAGGAAACCAGTACCTCTAGGGCAATTTATTTATCTACTGTCTTATTTGCCTAAATATAAAGAGGGGAGAAAAATAGTATTAACCAGGGGGTTATGGGGCAGGTGAATGAGTAATATGTGCAAAGTACTTAAAACTGGGCTTGGTAAAACATGGTAAGTGCTAAAAAAAGTGTATTATCATAATATATACCTGAACAGAGAATTACATGACTACAGTTCTGCTTTTTGAAAACTGCTTTTGACCAGGGCTAAAGCAGGATGTACAGAATGAATGACGGTCAAGGACTTATGTTGTATCTTGTGTCTATCTGGGCTTCCAGGACATCCCAAGTATATCTTTGAATTTGCTTCGGTGAAAATGTAGCTCGATGCCGCTCGAGGGCACGGTGCTTCTTGTGTTCCGGTTCCTCACCGTAGAGACTCCGTCTGAGCATCTCCTCGTTACAACTTCAAGTGAAAAAACGTGTACCTTATCTTCCTTTTACAGACAGGTGAGTGGAGCTGTGGAAGACATTATTTGTCCATGTCGTGGAGGAAATGCATGATGTCAACAGAACTGACATCTAGCATCTTGATTCAAGCTCAGATTCTCAAAACCCCAGAGGCTCTTTGCCGTGTGGCACAAGACAGGCTCAGGGAGAGGATGGGCTGGATGAAAAGGACGTTTCTCAATTCACATTTCAACACTTGCTTCCTTCTTCTGTGTCTGCCCCTCCTCCCCTGCCCATCACTAGACTGTCCATTGCTTCCTCTTCGACAGAAACTTTGTTTTGGGACTTACTGGCAAGTGCTACTTCTGATTCCACACCGTCCCTCGTAGGTGTAAGCGATGCAGAAGCAGGAGCAGGTCATTGAGTGGTGGTATGGCTACTCTCACGATGATAAAATTAGAATGGGACATGAATTCTACCCTTCACTTACTTTTCTTTTAGTCTCTAAGTAAAACATATGCAATTCCAAGCACTTCCTTGTGGAGTATCCCTGTCATTCTTTGTCAATGGTCCCGTTACCTTCCTGAAATGACTTGGTACTTTGTATTTAAAATACTCTTCAGATATTTTTAGTTACAATGTCCTTTCAGGAGACTTGTATCTAGCAGCCACCGGTTATATTGCTCTTTGTTTTGAGCTCAGTATGCATTCAGGAGGGCTTTTTGTTCTACTCTATGGCAGTCACTCGCGCTTGGTTTGTGCAATACCGATGAGATTACTCTATAACTGAACTTCCATAAATCATCCTCCTCTACATGCAACCAACTCCCACAACCTTTTCTTCCCTCAGAAACCTTTTCTAAGCCACTAAGTGATGAGATAAAGAAACAGGTTTATCTCCTTCAGTACATGTTTTATTTTTCATTCGTTTACCAACTAACGGTTTAGGCTTGGGTGCTAAAGGAAATGTGTTATTTTCACCTTACCCTGCTGAGGAAGTGGCTTCGCTGTGAAAATTGTACTATGTCCTCAGATATTTGTGTTAATGTGATAGAGTATATATATATTTTTTATCCATTAGTTAATTGAATATGACAGTCTTGATGTTTACAAGTCACATCTCAGTTAATATACAGGTATCTGTATACATATAAATATTATTTGTGTCCTTATTTTGGAAGTCCCTGGATTTCTAATATATGTGGTAAAAAAAAAAGAAGAAGAGTGTATTTTGACCCATTCAAAAATATTTGACTCAGGGACAGTAAAAAAGAGTAAGCCTAAAAATGACACCAACACATACACTAATAATAATGAAGAGAAGGGTGGCAGTAATTATAACTCTTAAATCTGAATCCCGCTAAGTTAGTATGTGCATTTTTAATGACTGTGTCAAGAAGGTTATATGACAAAAATTCTTTAAGACTCTTTCAAAGACAGTACTAGAGAGTAGTAACGATATTTTTAGATGACAGATTTTCCTTCAGAAAGCTCTCACAATCACTGTGTTTTCATGATGTCTTGACTGAAGGTGGGGAAAACTATTTCACACAAGGAAAACTTGAGACACTGCAATTAACTATGCAATTGCATAAGAAACACAGCAAAGGTACAAAATCAAGATTGTATCGTATTTGTTTTCTTCGTGTCTTATTATAGAGCATTTAGAGAGAGGCACAGGCTGTGAACAGGAATGATAGGATGGATGCGGGCGAACACAGACATAGCCACCAGAGTTGCTGGAATGTTGAAATACTTGTGCAAACCACACTTGTGCCCAACCCCTGCCTCTGCCCCAAGAACCTCTAGACACCCTGAATCCAGCACCTCAGGGGTTAATTCTGGCATAGTGGGACCTTCCAGACCCAGCTTTTATTCAGGGCTCAGGCTGTGCCAGTGGTTCCGTGTTTTGAGTGTTACCTGTGGGTCAAGCTCTTTCATAGGTAATTGTGCTGCTCAGTGAAGTTTCAGTGATTCAAGTGGCCGGAGGCTGTCTGAAAAGGGAGTGTGGTCTGTCTTTCTGCTGCAAGTGCGCTTCATTCCATTTCCCCCTCAGACTCAGAAATGTCAGTAATCTGCCTCTGCTCTGTCAAGTCCCCACCTGGAAAGCCACTTCATGGGGGCTGGTCTTTGGAAATCTGAATACCTTGACGGAGCTGCTGAACCACTCTTGTGGAGGAAAGAAAGGGAGACAGCAAAGAAGGGGTATCTCTCTGTCTGCCTCCGCACGGTCATCTGAGGAGAGCAGAAGTGCTACGGGAATGACCGCTTAGAGGGAGCCAGGCTTTGGCTACTGAGCTGCAAATCCAGCCGGTTATGATAAGCCGGCCTCAGACACATAGGGATGAAGGGTTTTTGATCTTCCCTGGAAGCTACACAAAGACACTGTCTGAAGTGAGTTAGGTAGACTCTAGGAGTTGTTTTGCTTTATTTAATTGAGAGAGAACGAGTAACTGATGTTTGAAATATCAACAAATGAACCACCCTTGTCCTTTTGCCACAAGGATGATATGACAAGGTTAGAGCAACAATGCATATAGCAAAGAGCCACTGTACATTTCCAACATTACCTAATGTCTCCAATGTCAAGACTAGTTCTTAGAGAAGGAGACTGAAGACTAAATATTTAGGTATGATTATCTGCCTCCAATGCTGTTTAGAAATGCTATGTTAGGATAGGTTAATCTCAGCCTTTATGGCTTGTAGAGGTAAACTGATTATTCCTTTATCACTTTAACTCATTTGCATTCCCAAGCCCCATTTTCCAAATAAAACTTTTTTCTAGTTACTCATGGCTAGGCCACATCAACAGGATGCATATATTCCTGACTGATGACCACCAGTCTTATTTTGCTTTTTTCCAGGGCCATATATACTCTGTTCCTTCCCTACTCAGTGGCTTTCCAGGTCCCGTTACTGAATGCTGTAGGTGATATTTCCTGTTTTCCTTTTTTTTTTTAATTTTATTTTATTATGTTATGTTAATCACCATACATTACATCATTAGTTTTTGATGTAGTGTTCCATGATTCATTGTTTGCATATAACACCCAGTGCTCCATTCAGTACGTGCCCTCTTTAATACCCATCACCAGGCTAACCCATCCCCCCACCTCCCTCCCCTCTAAAACCCTCAGTTTGTTTCTTAGAGTCCACAGTCTCTCATGGTTCGTCTCCCCCTCTGATTTCCACCCCTTCATTTTTCCCTTCCTACTATCTTCTTCTTTTTTTTTTAACATATAATATATTATTTGTTTCAGAGGTACAGGTCTGTGATTCAACAGTCTTACACAATTCACAGTGCTCACCATAGCACATACCCTCCCCAGTGACTATCAACCAGTCACCCGGTCCCGCTCACCCCTCCCACCACTCCAGCAACCCTCAGTTTGTTTCCTGAGATTAAGAATTCCTCATATCAGTGAGATCATATGATACATGTCTTTCTCTTATTGACTTATTTCGCTTAGTCCCATCCACGTCGTTGCAAATGGCAAGATTTCGGTTTTTTGATGGCTGCATAATATTCCATTTGTGTGTGTGTGTGTGTGTGTGTGTGTGTGTGTATCACATCTTCTTTATCCATTCACCTGTTGATGGACATCTTGGCTCTTTCCATAGTTTGGCTATTGTGGACATTCCTGTTTTCTGATACATGGACAGACTGATCATAGCCTGATTTTTCAGTCACTGGCTAGACAGTAAGATCTCATTTCTCCCTCTTGTTATAGTCTCTCTCTGGGCTTGCCTTTCAGAAACAACTCAGTTGCATTTTAGACCCAGTATACAACTGAGTTGCTTGACCTTTCTATTCTGCAGTCTCTCAGGGCAAGTCGAGCTATCAGCAACCTCCTTTCACGCTTCATGGCAGCAGGCGGAGCATATTCTTACTCAGCCACCAACTGTTCTGCTCAGCAGGCAGCTATGTTATGGTTGGGAAAGGTAGCCTTCCAACAGACCTAATATTTATTTAACCAAAAGCAACCTCTGGGGCTAACCTACAATCACAGGGAGCCTCAATCAAACATTGTCTGTACACCCAGTGTAGCTTAAGCAGTTCAAGAACTTGTGATTAGAAACTTTGATAGAGTGCAGTTAAAGTTACTCAAGTTCCTGGATGCCTTTGGGGCTCTCAGCTTATACTTGGGACATTCATGAAATATGGAAGGGAAACAGCAGTGCAGTGAATGTTATAATTCAAGATATAAGCCAAGATCTATGTTAGAGGCAAGTTTCTATGGTTAAATTAACATTTTTAGTGCATTTAAGTGAAAGTAGCCTTTTATTTTAAAGTGACTAGGCATAGACTTAATAGAAATGGAAAAAAGTGTAAATCAAATCAAATCAAATTTTACTTTTTTTAAGAAAGGATAAACCACAAACCTACTACATTTTAGTTTCTTATAGGGTCTAAAGTGTAAAAAGATTTTTTTTTTTTTTACTTTATTTCAGGTTCTCAGTTTTTCTTCCTCAGAGGTCAACTTATTTCTTAATTAAACCAGCTCTCCTTTCCTCAGAATTATTCTAGATAATCCATATATCAATCCAGTGTCTCTCCCACTCTATCTCCTACCCCATCCACTACTCCTGGCCACCACTGCTCTGTCTATAACTTGCCTCCACACCTGTCCCTCTGCCCCTTTGCCCAGTCCTCATTCCACCTGCTACTCTTTGACCTCTCCTCTTTGTCTTTCTACTCAAAGTTATTGAAGTAAATGTGTTGCTAGAGAGCAGAGGCCATGCAACATCTGCTGTAACAATATTAAACATCTCTAAGACGCGAGTGTTGGTGGTACCAACAATATCACTGAGTTTGCTTTCTTTGAAGGCAAAAACAAAAGACTCAGCTCTTAAAACACTCGTTCTTGGGATGTTGTTTAGGAATACAGCCATCCTGCCAGAAGCAGCCTAAGCCATGAGGATTGGCCATATGTAGAGACTACAATCAATAGTATCAGCTGAGCTCCCAGTCAATAGCCAGTTACGTGAATGAGGTCTCTTGGGTCTCCAGCTCAGTTGAGTTTTTAGATCACTCCAGCCCCAGCAGCCATAAAATTGCACCCACGTGAGAGACACTAAAAGAGAACATCCCAGATGACCCCGGTCAACCCACAGAATCCTTTTTCAGATGGCAAAAGTATCTCACTTTTGGGTAAAGATCCCCTGAAGGTTACAGTTTTGTTAAGACTACTTATGGTCCTTTTCAAGTAGATAAGGAGTCTTTTAAGAATCTTAAAAGCAATGTCTTGCCTACAGTTGCCAGATAAAGTACAGGACATAACATTTGGCAATACTTACACTAAAACTTTATTCATTGTTCATACGAAAATCAAATTTAACTGGTCTTTTATTTGCTAAACTTGGCAATCAGGCATACCTTGAATCTCTACCCAATAAAGAAAGGGGTCTCAAAGAGACCTCTTAATATTCCCTATCCATACTTCATTCCTTGGGTCTTTATTAGATCGATATGGGAAGTAGGTTCCCTAGATCTGTTGAATCCACTTATTAAAATGCTGTAAACCTGTCCCCAAGATCCTCTGAGCAAATATTCATTCCCAACACTCCCCAAATTTTATAGAATATATAATGCAATCCCACAAAACAAATCCAAAAACAAAGTAGAACTTGGATTTTGGAAAAATCAAATGCAAATAAAAACATGATTGAATAAAACAAAGCATTACTTGTTTTGATTTATCTCTGAAGGATACAGGAAGGAAAAAGAAACCAAAGAATTTGGATGGTTTTCAGCAACAAGTAAAACCTTCAAGTTCATGGAAAAATAATATCAACAGCATTTAATTTTTGGATATTGTTTCATAATTTACAAAAGACTTTCAGATTATTTAATTTGAATTTCACAAGAAAAGTGAAGTGAAAAAGTGATAGATGATTTTGAATCCTGTGGATCTTAACACTGACTGCCACTGAAACTCTTGTACCTCACTTACTGCAGAACTCCTTAAATTATCACATGGAATCTATGTACTCTTATTTTAGATAAATTCTAACAAGCTATTTGTTACCCCTTCTAGCACAGGTCAGAAACTGCAATGAGGAAGATAGCTTATAGCGCTAGGAAGCTAGTGGGCCATCTGGCGGTGGAGGAGGACACAGCAGACGCAACTCCAATTTCACGTGAGTTTGGAGACATCTAATATATTGCCTATAGATCCATACAAACCCCAGTAAGTTATCAGACCTGAGACTGCCGATTTTTGACATGTGAATTAAGTTGATATTTTTATCTATGGTTCCAATATGTATGTTAAGCTCCTAAATAAAATGATGCACTTTAGAAAAATGTGTCAAAGTAACATATAATTTAAACAAGTAGCTGGAAAAATTTCCTACATCAACTACCTTATTCTATGACAATATTAAACAAGATAGAATTATTTTGGGGCACTAAAATGCAATTGCTTGTATAAAGCAATGAAAGTCATTCATTTCTACCCTCATTTTGAAGTATGGATCTTTCTGCAAATTATATTGTTGATATCAATAACATCCTTGGCAATTCCTACATTATATGCTAGTATTGGTTGGAAATCTGAGAAAAAAATTCCAAAATAAACCCAAACAACATAAATTAAGCAACCAGAACTTTTCCAGTGGGTTAGAAGTTCTCCTCCTGTAGAGATGGACTACCATAAGGCTCATTCTTCAGAGGTCTTGGAGCAGCTCTCATACCTTTATCTGTTTTTGCACATGTGATAGATGACACTTAAAAAAGAATCTGGATGTAAATTTAAGCAAAGTTTACCATAATGGCATCAGAGTCAGTATGGATGTGGATATAGTACTTACTCTCTCTGCATTTTCCTGTGCTCTCTTCTTTATTCAAAATTTATCTATCAATAAAAGGAGAAAATAAATTGTTAGGATTTACGAGATTCTAATCTACATTACGACCATAATGTAATTGCTGGTGTTGTCTTGTGAGAGTGTGAAACATAAGATAGGTTTGTCTGTTAGGTGCAGTGGACAAATGCTTTTGCTAACATTCTACATTGTTGTATGGAGTTGACTACTCTTGGTTTTGTCTGCTTGGCTTTCAGTTTTCTTTTTAGAACCAGAATCTCATTCTGTCTTTCAATAATCATCTTGCTCTCTGCCCATGTAATTGAGTGAGACCCACTCTCTGCCTAGTTCCCCCTCTCCAGGGGAGTGACTGATTGAACAAATCAGCATATTTTATCCCCCCTGGAGGCAGAAATGGACAAGTGAACCCAATGATAGAGTGAGACTCAATCCCAGAGTTTTTCTATAATAATGGGAAGGAAAGGTCTGATTTCTCTTGGTATGGCTAAGTGGTAAGGTAAGCTATTCTGCTACTTGATGGGGAGAGCCTACATGAGAATGAAATCAATGTCAAGGAAAGCAAAGAAAGAAGGTTGAGAGAGTAAAAGTCTACATGACACTGTTTTAGCATCTTGGTCAAGCCATATCTGAAGATGTTACTCCTCTAAGACTCTTCAGTTATGCTAACTAATAAATTCCTTTTCTTGTTTAGGCTACCTTGAACTGGAATTTTATCATGTAAAATCAATCAAAATCCAGAATTAAACAAAATACAAGCTAGCAAGAGTGGTATTATTGGAAAAAAACCCATGATTCTGTTTTAAGAAAAAATGCGTAAACTTCAATTCCTTAATTGAAATTATATATCACTCATTTGTGCCACTCACCTCATAGCACTGTGAAATATTTGTGAGGGAGAGCATGAGTGTAGGCCATTATTTGTCCTTCCCACATGTTTAATTAAATGAAGAAACTTGGTGTAAATCACACATAAGTGTTAAAAACCGGAAAACAAGATGCCTTATTTTATCTTTAAATGCTTCTGATCAGCTAGGTCAAAAATTGTATCATGGAGAAGATGCCTTTTAATTAATGACTCTACTAGCCGAGCTCTGTGGTAAGTCTTGCATAGAACATATTATTAGCTACAAGATTGTTCTTCCAATGGGATTAGAGAGAGAAATATTTACACCTCTCAAAGGGGAGGATTGTGTTCAGTTTTCTGCCAAATAACTTGTCTTTCAGAGTTAACAAGGACATTGTAACTGGATCCAGTTAAATATTATACAGTAAATCTTAGTGATCTCATATGAGGCTAGCAACACAGAGCTAATGAGTTTGAGCTCGCCGGGGAAAGATTGGCTTGCCTCTTACTCCCAAGAAAGACCCTGTGTGAAAAGAGTTCCTTTTTTCCTTTTTTCTTACCTCTTTCTCAAGTCATGTGAGGCCGTCTTGCCCACATAATTGCAGGGCCAGATTTACTTCCTTCCTGGACAGGAGATTAATAGTTTCTCTGGCAAATTAACAAGTCAGCTTTGCCTTAGACTGGGCTCCCCTTAATTCTAATCAGAAGTTAATTTTGATTATCACAGGCATCCTTCCCAGGGGTTCTTTTCCCTTAGTCTCTAGCTTTCAACCCACCAAAATCAATTGTTTGTGTGTGTGTGTGGGTGTGTGTGTGTGAAAAACAAGTGGCTACTTTTAAATATAAGAGTGGCTTTTTGCCATATTCCAGATTGGAGTCCTGACGAAAGAACTTTCACAGCACTAGAGGTTAATTGTAGTGAGGGATAAAGGACATAATTGGATGACTTGCTTGATGGGTCGACAAAAGAGTATGCGTTTACTTGGTCAACGCCAGAGAGGACATAGTCTCTGGTATATTTTAAAATCTCCATTGTATTTAATAAAATCGGCTTGTGTGGTGGCAACAGACATGGATTCTGTAGTTTTAAATCAGTTTTAAATTCGAACTTAGCGACTTACTAGTTATATGACTTTAGGTGACTTTCTGAACCTCTCTATGTCTTGGTTTCCCTATTTGTAAAATGGAAAGAAAATGAGAGTGTTGAAGTTTATATTCAGCAATATTGGTGACATGCTTAGCACCCAGGAGGCACCAAATAGCTCATTGTTAGGCTCTGATCTTACCTGAAAGTGGCTTGGGCACTTGCTCAAGTGGTCAATACCTGTCTGTGTCCTGATTCCGTTCCTCGTGGCAGATGAAGTGTGACATGAAAACCTTGGCAGTTTTTTACTGAATTGAGAATTTGGATCGTGATAGACTTCTAAATTCTAAGTTAGAATGAAATAACCAGCTCACTGTATTCTCTTCCTTTCTCTTACATTTTGTGGGTGAGCCCCACCTGAGGGTTAAGATCCACTTCTGAATCTTGCCACATCTGTACACCATTGATTGAGAACTGAATATTTCCAATCCTTTTGATAATAAACTGATGTCTGGTTTTTTTTTTTTTTTTTTTTTGAGCCAAACCTGCCAACAGTAGAATTGAAACAATGATTCTGAGACATTTCGTATTGTCTCTCATTTACACAGAAACCAATTTGGGAGACCTGGAGGTTACTTGGAACTCTGTTTCTGTCTTCTAGCTGCACTGGACTCAAAACTTCAGAAAATGAATAAATGTTTTTTTTTGTTGTTGTTGTTCAATCTTGATTAGCTGGTGAATCTAATAGTATCGTTGCAAAGAAAGAATATATATTACTTAAGATCTTTCTATTGATTTTCCCTTCTTTGTATATGACCTAATTTTAATTTTCAAGCCTAAATTTTCCATACCTATAATCCACAGCAGAAGGTCTTCAAAAAGATGTCTTTGGTCTGCTTGATTGCATATGTGTTATGGAGACTTTGTTCTGCTTTTATTCACCTAGTGAAGTGCATTTATTAATACCTTTTTAAAGGATTTTTGTTATCTTAAACCTTTCTGGTCGTTTGCATATTTACTAGATATACTCTTTAAAACTGCGTAGTAGGTAAAATGTGAAACACAGACAAAGGTAGAGATTATAGTATCATAAGTCTTATGGACCCTGAGTCTCTGTCAACCAGGCTCAACAATCATGAGCTAATGGCTAAGCTTGTCTAACCTCACATATCCTTACTCTCCTTCCATTGTCAGATTATGCTGAGATAAATTACAAGACAACATATGATTTTATTAATATTTCAGCTTGGCCTGTTTTTCTAAAAGATTCTTTTTAATATATCCCTAACACTGTGATCACACCTAAACAATAAACCATCACTTCTTAACATCATGATCAATTAGTTAGGGCTCAAATTCTACCAAACAAGTTCTACTTTTAGCTGCATAAAACTGCAATTTTTTTTCCCAGGTGTGGTTTCCAGAGCTAACTGTCATTATCTGTGATCACCGCTGGATGGCTACCCTGTGCCCCCCCAAGATTCTTTGGCAACCAAGTTGATCCCTTTTATTCAGAACTGGAGGTATTCCCTGGGGGCACATGTGCCAAGGCCCAGGAGAGCTGCCTGCTCTGAGAAACAGGGGAGGGACAGGCTCTGAAAACCCACTTGCATCCATGAGACTCTGAACTCCTGGTAATGGCTCAGAGTGGGAATCAGAGAAAGCTTTCTCTTCACCCATCGGTAAGCTGCATGATGCAGGGGTGTGGCAGGGGCCCTAATTAGAGATGGGGGAGACCGCATTGTTTACAGCTGCATCCACACAATCTCCCCACCTTCCCACATCATGCAACCTGGGGTAGAGGGTGGAGGAGAGAGGCTGGAATTGGTATCTGTCATTCCAGGATATCGTTCCCAACCAATCCCAAGGGGGAAAGTGAGCATAAAGCAGTATGGAAGGGACAGGCCATCTCACTAACATTCCCGTTTCCAGGCTCCCTCTCCAGGTGATGCTGTGCCCTGAGAACAACACTGACAGATGGGCATGTCCCACTGAAGTCCCTGCTCAAGTCTGTGTATTGGGAGCACTCCAGCAGGGTAGTACCAGAGTTGGGAGGTGGTGGACCTGGAGACTGTGGTGTACACTATACCTCAACAGTAGGCCCTTCTGGGGGAGGGTAGCAGCTTCCTAGCAACCTTTGGTGGGGACTGCAGAGAGACGGGACAGAGAGACAGTCACTGGCTCTACTGTCAGGGTCACCTCTAGGCTGTGTGGCCAGACAGATCAGCACTTGGGCTGTCTGGGCAGGGACAGGACTTTGCTCGAGGAAGAGATGCACACTGGTATTGGGGTAGGTTGTTTTATAGCCCTTTGGGCGGTGCTTTCCTTGTTCCCAGTGTAATTGGTTTAATATGATTACACCACACAATCCCCAAGAAGGAGAAGGCCCTCAACCCCTCTCTCCAGCCTGAGTGTTCAGGACTCCCCACCTCTCTATATCCTTACCACTTCCTCAAAAGCAGATAGCTCTGCTGACTTCTGGCCTTCAGGCCTCCTCCTCTGTTTGGAACACTCATTCTTTTCCTTGTCCTAGCCCCAGTCCTTCCTCAGGTCTCAGCTTAAAGGCCCCTGGCTCTGGCAAGCCCCCTTTCACTTCCACAGGTGAGAGGCTGCTGCCATATATTCCTGTAGTGCTTGCTCATTTCCTATCTCCTCTGTTTGACTGTTAACACCTTAAAAGGCAGGGACCACCCTTATTTTGCTCATCCCTTTATTCTCAATGCCTGCTACAGGGCCTGACACAAGCAGGTTCTTTTTTTTTTTTAAGATTTTATTTATTTATTTATCTGACAGAGAGACACAGTGGGAGAGGGAGCACAAGCAGGGGGACTGGGAGAGGGAGAAGCAGGCTTCCCACTGGGCAGGGAGCCTGAGGCGGGGCTCGATCCCAGGACCCTGGGATCATGACCTGAGCCAAAGGCAGATGCTTAACGACTGAGCCACCCAGGCACCCCACAAGCAGGTTCTTAATACATGTTTATTGAATGATTTCCATTTATAAGATACTTAGGGAACAGGTTAGAGCCAAAATTTTGAGCTGGCTCACAAACATTATAATAGAGGACCTGACTTATTAAGAATGAGACCTTAATTAGGTTATAAAAACTTTTGCTGCTGGAAAGGGGAGTAAAGAGCAGAGGAGTGGACCATGGGCCATTCCTCATACCATGGCACCCTGTGCTATGGACAGAGCCTGTGCTCTGTCATGACCAGTGGCCCCAACATAGAAAACAGGACAAGCCTCCTATTATCCCTCTCTGCTCTGGGAGGCCGTGTCAGGTCCCTCTGGGGCTGGGAGAGTCATCTGATGTCTTAGAACCCAGGACCTGGAGCCCCAGCTGGCAGCCACCTCCGGATGCTGGAGTGTAGACCTCAACAGAGTGAAGAGGCTGCCAGTCTACCTCTCATTGAAATCAGGGCCCCTGCACACACTGCTGTAAAGAAATGATGCTGCAGCCCTTGGTGGAGCTGAGGAGCAATAGAACTCAGCCCCTCTGGCTAACCAAGTCTCATTGCACAACAACAAAAGGGTTTTTGTATTTTGTTCTGAAACCTGACTTCCTGAAACTTCCATCCAAGGGTTCTCATTCTGGAGAAACATCTGGGGACTTAATTTCCCTCCAGTCTAATAGACCTTGAACTATTTGAAGAGAGCTGTAAGTTGTGACCATAGTGCCTCTGTCTGCGATGTAATTGAGGGGCCACCTTGAATTAATCTAAAGGGAGAATGGCAGTTGGGGATGTTTTTCTCTAATTGTGTCGTGATTATTAATTACAGGGAGTGTATTTATAAAAACCATCTAAAATAGAACTCTGCTGAGAATAACTCATTTGTCTGTCACTTTTAACTCACTTTCCCATTCCCAAACACTGCTTCCATAGACTATTACTACATGTGGCAACTGGACATTATAAATGTCCTTTAAAGAAAAATCCCAGTTTTAAAAGTCTCTGTCCTGCAAAAGAGACCCAGCTGACTTTATTGATGGTCAGAAAGAACTATCACCCCAAATCTTAGCTATTTTGCTATAGACTAGAACCTTGGACCATCTGTTTTCTTAATGTATTAATTTGGGTTGGTATGATCATGATAATGGATTAAGTTTTGCTCTAGGCTGAATTCCTCACTTTCAAATTGTTATCAGCTGAATTCATGCACTGGCTTATTCACAGGTTATAAACAACCAACTCAGTTGCTTTGTTTAGTTCTTAAATCACTTCCCTATTTTTAGATCATTACCATATTTGAGAAGAATAGGTAACCTTTGATGTCTTGTGCACGCGGTAGCCTGAGGTGGAGCACGTAGGGCTAAGTCACTAAATCTCCGGCATGGAATGGAAGTGTGGGGCTGGTTGTGTATGACATCTCACTCTATGGATTTTTTTTTTCTCCTGAGACTGCATCCCATTTAACACCTTCAGCCCAGACGAAGTGAGCTATGTTTGAAGCCCCTGCCCTTCTCAGTGAGTGACTCTGTGGCGACGTCCCCTTCCCGCCCACTGGCCTATGCTCTGTAACTCGAAGCCGCCTGCAGTTGGTTGTGTGAGTGTGAGATCACCTCAGAAGTCATGCCACGTCCTTGCAAGTAAAGCCACAGTACCCAGCTCCACTTAGTGCCCTCTGAGTCAGCTTGCCAGGAAAAACGACTGCCTCATGGGGAGAGACCTCATATTAAAAGTGAAAGACCATACCAATAATTTATCCACAAAGGTCCTCATAATAACTCACTTTGAAATGAATATTTGTATCCCTGACACTGTGTGTTCCACGTATTGAAGATGTAAAGGCCTATGGCATTGACACATATCCTGCCAGTGTATACTTCTTCACGGAACATTTTTGTATCCTAGAATAGCTAGGTTATCCTCACAAGACAGCTTTTTGTCCTCCAAGATATCACTGAGGTAGACCGTTGGTTCTCAACCACGAATGATTTCGTCTCCTAGGGGAGCGTTGGCAATGTCTGCTTGTCACAGGAGAAGGCTTGCTACTGGCACTTAGTGGGTGGAGGTGAGGAAGCTGCTAAAAATCCTGCAGTGAAGAGGATAGCCCTACCTAACAGAGAATTACCTGGCCCCAAATGTCAGTAATGCCAAAGTTGAGAACCCTTGGGTTAGAGAATTTATTTCTAATTGATTTAAATATTCTCCCTGTGGACTTCAACTTTATTTACTGTTTTAGATCATTTTCTTCTTCTTTTTTAGGTCATTTTCTTGAGTCCAAGAATGACTAAGTTTAGTACAGAATGCTGCTTACCAAAATTCCCCACACCACATCCAAGATGAACTGACATTACCAGTGTAACAAGCGTAATGCACATTACTAGTGTGATACTGGGTCTCCATGTCTTCTGCAGCCTTAAAGAGGAAGGACTGAAAAGGAATAAGGTATTAGTTTTCTATTGCTGCCATAACATATTACCACAAACTTAATGGCTTAAAAGTATACAAATTTATTATCTTACAGGCTGTAAGTTAGAAGTCTGACATAGGTCTTACTGGGGTAAAATCAAGGTGTTGGCAAAACTGCATTCCTTACCCAGGCTCTAGGGGAGGATCCATTTTGCTTGCCTCTTCCAACTTCTGTAGGCTGCCCACATTCCTTTGCTTGTGGCCCCTTTCTTTACAACAAAGTGAGTAATGTTGCCTCTCTCTGACACCTCTTCTGTAGTCCTATCTACTTCAGAATACAGCCAGGAAAGTTTCTCTGTGTTTAAGGATCTTTGTGATTACATTGAGTCCACCCATATAATCCAGGATAATTTGCTCATTTCAAGGTCTTTTACTTAATCACATCTGCAAAGTCCTTGTTGATATGTAAGGGAATGAACACATTCAAAGGTTCCAGGGATTAGGAGTAGACATCCTTGGAAGACATTATTCTGCCCACCACAGAATAATGCTAGTTTTGGCAACACCTAACTCCCATTGGGCTATTGATGTCCTACAAAATGGGGACAAGTTAGAGAATGTGGGCTTTGGGAAACATGCTATCAGTCATCATAGAATTGTCTTGTAAGCAGCTTGGGCACAACCTTGTAGATATGAATGGGTTTGCACCTGAAGGAAATGGACATTTCAATTGTCAGTCATTCTGGAAAGAAGTCATTCCTGAGTGAGCTTTAGAACAGGGTGAGGGAAGTACTTTCTTCTCTCTCTGAAGCCTGGGCCCCCTTTGGTCTAGACCTGGAGGTATGAGGTACCTGGAGCATGGTATAGTGTAAACCCGTAGCTCTGAGCAAATGGCCTGGGATAGAGGACATGATGTGAACCTATATTGTAAGGGACCTGTAAGGTGTTGAGGACTGTGCAGTATCTTTGGTTTATCCTTAAAATAGTCTTATTATTAGGATTTTTAAAATACTAGCTCATTTCTACAATGTTGTTACAAGTGAAGGGGAAGGGCTTCTGGGATGAAAAGAAGCAGTTTATAGGGTCAAGAATCAGATGGGTGGTGAAGGGAGGATTT